GAAACTAGCATCCTAATTTTGTAAGCTATTTAAATTATAAATCCTTCGGAGGCACATCCTGACAGATCCGCCACCTAAACCCGGGCCTCTCACTACCTACATTGTGTCTCCATACTGTCTCCTGTACAAAAGGAAGTATCTTTCTCCTGACTCCCCTCTTGCAACTTCTAGCCCAGTGATTGGTTCCTTGAAATCTTTATTCATTAGGGGAAGATTCTTCCACAAACTCTTATCTTAACTGACTTACAAAAGTGTACAGTACTTATTGTTGGGCTCCAGGAGTTGCCTCACAAACCACATGAAAACTTGGTCCTACAGGGATAGTTTATTGTGCATATACCTCAGGGACATGGCACAGGTTCAGGAACTGAACCATGATCCTGAGTTAAGATCCTACAGGATTTTTAAGGCCAAAACCCACAAACATCTGTGTCAAGTTATTTCTCCAATCAGGATTTAGGGATAGGGTGTTGCCTTAGGAAGCTGTCTTTGTTGTACATGTATCCTGCTCCCATCGGTTGGGGTATTCAGGTGTAGCAGCAGACTTGCCTTGTCTAATATTTATTCCCTAACTTGTCTACAAGGATGGGACTTGTCTAACATTCATATCTTAACTTGCCACCCAGGGTGTCAGTTCCCAGAGAGGTCTTGGGAACTTAAGCTTTACCAACTACTACTCAAAATGGAAGTCTTATTTCAAATATTTTCTTATATTGGGACAGGTGTCTCTCTTATGTTGAGATCCATTCAACAATATTTTTATACCATAAAAGCTTATACACAGGTGCAGGAAGTGTTGTTCGGTGGTTGATTCAGGTCCAAGTATATTGTGGGTAACTATATAAAACAGTTCTATTGACTTTTACCATGATTGGTTTCCAAGGGCACAGAACATAACAGAATAACAACCTTGGCACTAGCAAGTTTCCTAGTAACAGTAGAAACATATGAGAAAGTTTCCCCAGTATGGCAGGCTAGCCAAGTAACTGTTACCTAGGCCTTAAAATCTAAGGCCTTAATATTTTACCTAGGCCTTAACACTTATGATAAAAGTAATTTCTAGTAAATGAGCTCACTGGTATAGTTTAATGTCTTCAGGATGAGCACATTAAGGAACTGTAGATAACTTATTTCTGTATCTAATAATAGTTTAGAAATAACTAATTATCCAAATAAATTTAAGGGAAAATAAAACCAAAATTTCTGTCATCTTCCAGAGCCAAAGATGTTGAAAATGAAACAGGAGAAGTAACTTTCTTTTCCTCTCAAGTGGACATCCTTCTTGTACTCTCTAATGGCAAATTCTAATTCACTGCATTAACAACCTGCTACTGGACATAAACTTTTATAGTATTAGGTTGCCCTCATGATATACATTTCTTTGTGGGGGATGTGGAAGTCAACCTGGTGAAGGAAAAAGGAGAATGGAGAGCAAGGTACCACAGGCTCCTGAGACTCCTCAAAGAGTCCTGTTGTGCCACACACAGCATTTGATCTAAGGTGGCTCTTGGCACACTAGTGAAACAGCAAAAAGGGACTGAGACCAGTCCCTTTTTTGGTGGCCACTTCCCCAGGCTTCACTGAAGCCCTCACAGGTGAGGGTACTCTCCCAACTCCTTCTGAGTTACCTCATTAGGCAGATCTTTCATTGGAGCATTGTGACAGTGTGGTGAGATACACTTGGCCCAGGATTTAGGGTCTTGGGATTGGCTCAAACAGTGTATGTAAGCTTATGGGCTGGGCAATAAACTCAGATCTGCACCCCAATACTGGTCTCTAGAGTCAGATTTCCTGGAATTTATCATGTGACTCTGTTACTTCTCACCCTCAATCCTCAGTCTCATTCTCACATACCTCAGCTTTATTTATTTCAAGATGCAATAGTACTCTAATGGCTAATAACAGTTATTCTTCGGGAGTTAAAAAAATGTATCTTTAGTTTCTCTCCACAATTTTGAAATTCAAATTGACCATACATGGAATAATCTCAATTTTGTTCCTCCTTCCAGACTTGGCTCTCCTAACCTTTGGAGCATCTGAATTTCAAATGGACCGGAATGTGCTAAGCAATGAGCTCTGACAGACCGAAGTGCCCAGAGCAGAGATGTTGCCACAGTTACAGGGCTTTTTGTGATTAGCGCTGTTTTGAGGAAAATTGAATGCTATGGATTTTGTATTCAGTTAGAGGAATTTAAAAGTTTTTCAGAACTTTCCAAAATGGAAATTCAAAGTGGAAAGGCACAGCCCAAACCAAGCAGCCTTGCTCTTGGTTTGCAAGGCCTTGCAGCCTTGCTCAATTATAGTGGGACATATGCTCAATACTCAAAAGACAGATAATTTCACGTCTGTAGGAACAAGGCAGGTTGTCCTATGTAGAAGACACTGCCCAACTGAACACAATTACCTCAAACCATGTAGAGGTAATTGGTTTTCCTTGATAAACCAAAAAATTATTTGTTTATAACAGGGCTTCTTACCCTTGAGGAACTCCCTTAATATTTACCTAATTCTAATCTTTCCCTCACCCCATATTCTGGTAAAGTCCTGCTAACTATATCACAAACTAAGGCCTGTCACCTATAACCCTGTACTCTTTGAACTATTTGCCTTGTAATTCAACAGCTCACCTTTCTTCCAATAATCAACCTAAGTTCCACGTTTCATCTCTTTCTTTGTTTTGTATTTCACATTTTCTAGCTCAAATCGTTTGCCTCTCCTGCAGACAGACCCTGCCTTTCATCCTGATGCTTAACCCACTTTATTCTGCCACATACTCTTGAAATGTCTTTTTCTATTCACCTCTATGTTCCAAGGTTTCCCAGGAAATCTAGCAGACAAAAATGAAACACATTTGAGACTAGTAGCTTTGCAATATATGTGTAACTTGTGAAGGGTAATATTGGTCATTGTAAACTCACTAAGGCAAGTATAGTGTATGACAGACCAATGGCAACTCAATTTCTTTTTATTTTCCGATTTTAAAACGAGTTTATTTATTTTTATTTTATGTGTATATGTGTTTGTGTTTATTCATGAGTACCACTTGCAAACCTTGTGCTTGCTTGCAGAAGCCAGAAGAGAGCATTGGATCCTCTGGGACAGAAGTTATACATTATTGTGAGCTACTCATGTGGGTGCTAAAAACTGATCCCAAATCATTTACAAGAGCAGAAAGCACCCTTAAAGGCTGAGCCATCTTTCTAGAATGGCCACACAATCTTATTCCAAAGTCCTCACTGGTTCTCCCTAATTACTCATACAAGGAATCACATTCGTCTATACATGACTTTAAAGGAAACAATGTAGCTTTAGGTTCATAATATGTATCAATAGAAATGAGGGCACATACAAGAGTCACATTACTTATTAACTACCACTAGTTTAATGAAAGCCTCATACTTAACTGCTTACTAGACAGATTTACCTATGTACTTTGAAAATCACATGTGATATCCTCCTACTGAGCAAAGGATTCCCTCTCCTGTGAACAACAAAGACAGCTCCAGTATTGGGATATAAGGCTTAATGGATCGCTAATAATGTAGCATCTGCTATTAGGCACTGAAAACCTTGTCCTCTTAGAGCATTAGTTTTAGGAATAAATTCTGAAAAAATGTGATAAATATAGAAATAGCGAGTAGACCCCTGCCTGCTGATTTTGAGTCAGACTTCCTTAGACATCAGACCATGCCTCTTCCACTTCTTAGATACACGACTTTACACAAATTATTTTATACTTTTTGTGGATTGTAGATGCTAACTATCCTTCTCAAGGAGTAGTTATAGGGAGTAGAAAGGCTATGAAAATAGGTAGCAGAGCAAAGCACCTTAAGAAGTAAGAATGTCTCTTAATCACCCTTCCTGTTTGAGTCTGCATACTCCCAGTTTCTCCAGATTTTCACAAGCTGTCAACAATCTACTAAAAGAAATTAAACTGAATACTAAATGGGTCAGGATAATTTCCAACAAATATGATTTATTTAGCAATCATATATAGTAGGAAATACAGAGAGTTACAGCATAATAAAAACACAAGAATCATAGGTTGTCAGGTTAAAAAGTAGAGTTCTGGTTAAATGAAAAGGCAAATAAACTTGCAAGTATATGGTGGGTAGCTGTGAGTAAAATGCAAAGCAGGTGCAGCAGCCTATGGAGAGAGATAGTCCTGCTTCATAGTGTGGTCTCTCACATCAATATCTGCACATTTGGAGGCACACATGATCTCCAGTGTGACCCCCTACTTATTAGCTTCCAGTAGGAGCTGTCCTATAGAGAGAGAAAGAGGAAGGAAGGAATGTGGAAGGCCAAAGGCAAGATATGACACACATTGGCCATGGTGGAGATAGGAAGAAAAGGGAGGGATATGAGGAGTAGAGTATGTGGTCCAGGCAGTGTGACAGCTCTGAAGCAGTGTGCCTCCCCAACTACCCCTGCAAGTTGGTCACAGTGCTCTGTAAGTCACATAGCCTGGACAATTAGGCTAGCAAACATACACTGATCAATGTGTGTATTCCTTAGTTTACATTAACCAAGCATAGAGATTAAAGGAATAAAATACATATATTTTCTATGCCATGAGAGAAGTAGAGCTTCAATTTATTCTCCCCTCCAGAGGTTCTAGCTTTACTGAAAGATAACTGGCTCACTTAGGAACAACAGTAATTAGACTTCTTAGACTCTCAGATTCTACTTTGAAAGCAGAATAGTTTCTAGATAGTAAATATCTCATTTTATAAAAGAAGACATTAAAAGCAGTAGTTACTGTTTCTCCATAAATAGAAATAAAATGTCCATGTTAAAGGACAAAGGCTACTAAGATACACATTTCTATTAATCTTCTCAACACATTATTATAGATCAATCTTTACTGCTGATATTTAAAATATCCATCACATTATAATGGCTATGATACAATTCAATTATTTAACAAGATTTAGACAATAGTAACACTAGGAATCTAATTCACAGAACATTTAAAAGCATTTTTATACAGTCTACACACAAACATATCTTAAATTACAAGAATGCATACTAAATATGCATAGAGAATATGGCTTACACATTGAAGTAGATCCAAGTTGTGAGTTATAAAGACCTCACTACTTAGACTTAAACGCTTCTGGTCATGCTCCTCTCTGAAATATTGCTTAGCCTAGTGGAACCTGGGGAAACAAAGGTGCAAGAAGCTACTCATTAGGATGGGCGAACCTTTCTGCACATCACTTAATTGACAGTAACTCTCTGTTCATTCCATTCAATTTTCACCTTTCACAAAGTTCGAAATCCCTGAAAGGTATGTACAGTGAAAAAGCTAATTGGGCTTGACCATTCTTGTTAGCTAAAAACAAGAAAAAAGGCCGCCAACAAGTTGAGGAAAGGCTTTACACATGCTCAGGCAAAACATGGCCAAGAAGCAGGGCCTCTGAGGGTTACAGTTCACTTCTGTTCAGTAAAATTAAAAAGTCGCATCAAATAATATTGGCTATACAGAAAATTATGGGTTTTTTTCCATATACACTTCTGAGCATGAGTGCACACACCTACCACAAACACACACACACACACGCGCGCGCACACACACACACACACACACATACACACACACTTGTCGCTTATGCCTCAGCCTGTAATATGATTTTATATTCTAGTGGGAACAACATCCCAGAAGGAAAATTCTGCTTTCTCTTCAAGTGCCCTTCTTCTGCGATGGCTGATGTTCCTTGTTACTTTGGCCCTACAGCAAGATGAGACCTGCAATATGACCACACACACGGGTGATACACTAGGGCCTTAAAACCCAATGGATGCTTGCAGAATGGTTGATGGCTTCAAGGAAAGATGGCACTGTAGTTTCTCAGCTGGAGGACAAACGAGATGTTCATCCAATCACTGTTCAGCAGCTCTTATAGTCAGCTGTTGCTGGTACTTCATGAACAACTTCTGAAGACAGCTTTGATTCTGATTCTGTTCCCATACATTTAAAACAAGACAGTCTTACCAGATCAGCATTGCAAGAAAACAGGTTTTCATCATTTTGTTTTGCTTTTCTTTTACTCTTTGTTTATTTTCTTCTTGTTGTTGTTGTCCCTGTTTGTTGACAATGGTGTTGTTGCGGCACTCTTGTGTTACACGGTGCAAGAAGTACATTGAAAACCATCTTCTGCACAAGTTTAAAATGATGAAAACTTGAAAGTGTCCAACTTTCAGTCTTAAAAGATTTCTCTGGCTTGATTGAATATGATCAAATCACAAAAGGAAAACCATGACATAAACAGTGGCCAGAATCCTAATGATAACTTGTGGGAACTTCTTTGCTCAGTTATTAGATTGAAATTTACGTTCTTGTTCCTTACAGAGGAGTTCACTAAAATGGCCTGAGCCGAACATATATTTTTTTAGAAAATCAATGTCTTTGCATGTTTTTCATGCTGCTTTCATTTTCCTGAAATAAAAAATCAAATGAAAACAAGATCAGAAAAGGGATGGGAAGGTGGGTTGGGTAGATATTGGCTAGAAAATACAACATTTCAGTTAGATCACAAAAATAAATTCGAGAGATATATTCAGAAGATATAGTAAATAATCATGTATTATGTTCTTGAAACTTTCTGAGGGTAGCTTTTCACCTAGCCACTAAAAAGTGCTAAGTGTGGGAGGTCATACATTTAGTATTTAGTTCAACTTAATTATTCCATGAAGACTACAGACTTCAAAATATGCCACATGTAAAAATTACAAGTTTGGGTAACTAAAAATAAATAAGGAAAAAAAATAGAGAATATTATTTAGTCCACATAAGGATCAGCTACTGAATGGCTTTTTCACATAGGACTTATACACTCTGCCAGAAATAAGAGATTGTAATGAATAGCAATTAATTTATCTACATTGTAATTGCTTTCTAGCTCTGTTCTGAATGTCCATGTTTTTCACAGCTTTTAATTTCAGTAGATAGTTTTCATATAATGTCATTTTAGTAAACACACTGGTGACTTGTATTCTCTACATACATTTTGGGGAAATACTCATAAATAATATAGATCTATACTATAAATATTTAGAAAATGCGGACCCAAGTATTATATATATATATATATATATATATATATATATATGGATACAAATGTCCTATAGGGAGGAATATTGCTTAATTTTGCATATTCATATTCATCTTAAATGACCAGAATCTCAAGAGCTAATAAATATACAATTTGTGTGTAAAGTGTGGACAGTCTTTATAATGGTTATTAGCAAAATACATGGATAGGCATGAGATGCTAAAAAGCCACTTGGTGATTTGCTTTATTTCCAACCTTCATGTATAAAGCAGGAATTATAGCCACCATTGGATTCTTAATGCAACATGTCTAAGATGTTCACAAGTGAGTCTTTACACAAATACTGAAGAATTACCTTAAACGTCAAATCACATTTAACTCAAACCAGCATCTGAAGAGTCAATGACAACATCTCAAGGGACTGGCATGGCTCCCTCACCATTTTACCAAGCCCCTGCTACTAAAGCAATATAATATTCCTCATGCCCCCGCTACTAAAGCAATATAATTTCCTTCTAGCACTTGTGATTTGTTTGATAGGCATTTTGTAAAATTTAAGACATCTATACTATATACACCACCCTCTCTAATTGTCTGCTCATCCTGTGTTCTTTCAAGGCAGTAGTTCTGTTTGAATAGACACTAAGATTAATATATCAGCTCATTAAAACTTCATGTTTCTATATATTTGTAATATATAGAAATACTCTTCATATTTATACAGCATTATTACTAGGGTTATCAATCTGCCAGATGGAAAGCAAGTCACAGAAGTCATTTATAAAAATGACTATTATTGTTCACAGATTTTTAGGAAACATGATGTTCATGTCATTAATGGTTCCTATATGCCATAGAAAAGGTAATTCTAAGTCTTCTCCTACTGTAAGAGTTTCTTCTGGAATCTTTTTTCATAAACCATATAAAATATAGCTTATTGTGCTTAAAGTATTAAAATTGTAATCTCAGTAAATAAAATGTAGTTGATGGAAAAAAGTGCATTTAAAACAAATAGAATAATATTTAAATGGAGTCCTTTGTGTCTGAGGGTGTTATATAAACAATTCACTTTAGATATTAGGTTTCTTATATGTTTCTTATGTGCAGCTTGGTCTTCATATGGGTCCCAAACAACTGGAACAGGGGCTACCCCAAACGCTGTTGCCTGCACATGGGATTTGTTCTTCTGGTTGGGCTGCCTTGTACGGCTTCAGTGAGAGAGGAAGCGTCTATCCTCACAGGGAATTGAAGTGCCAGGGCAGGAGGGAGGTATGCAGGGTTTACCCAGGGGCTCCCACACCCACTCAGAGGAGAAGGGAAGGGGAGATGAGGAAAGGTTTGTGAGAGGGTGGACCAGGAGGAGGGCAGTGAGCCGAATCTAAAGTGGATAAGTAGACAAATAAAATTAAATAATAGAAAAAATAGGTTTCTTGTCTCAAAGATTAAATTACCTCTTTTGTTTAAAACAACTGAACTTTTAAAGTTTGTTCACACCTATGGTCGTGGGTCAGCATGCTTTTCTTCAGTATTTCCTAAGTCTTCTGAGTTCTTATGAAGTTCAAGTTCGCCTACAAACATCAAATAACAAATAGGTAAGACAAAATTGGCCTTTGGCAGCAGGTGGGGGGGAGGGGCACTAACATTCCCAGGAGAAAGCCCTTTGTAAAGTGCTGAAGAAGGGCTTTGATAATGGATTTTGTAGTGCGTTTCTCCAAAGACAGAGTATTTTCCTTCCACCCTGGGGGTTTGCAGAGTACAGCACATCTTCGCATGATTGTTTAATCGTTGAAGTTGAAGCTTAGTCTGGAAACACAGAGACAAAATATACGAGAGAAGCATTTATTAAGTCACACGCAGGACTTCGTGATTTTCCTGGATGTTTCTTTTACTGAAACCAAGTTTAAACAAATCCTAATAACCAATGTCTTTAACCATGTTCTGATTGGCTGCTGCTATGAATTTAAAACAAATTAGAATGAGTATGAGAGACTAGTAACGTTTCAGATAAAATAATCTGCCAAAACAAATTAATAGAATTTATAGTCTTAGAGCTTTATATAAACTCCAGCTTTATATAAACCCTGAAGATAAGGAAAGCATTAGTGTGGAAACTATTCCAATGCTTCCTAAGATGTTGAGGAGAACTGATTAAAAATTGAATAAAGTTTCAGATAAACATAAAAGGAGACCCGAGTGCCGCCTGGACCAGTACCAGTGCCACACAGTTTACACTCGCTAGACCCGGCAGGTATGCAGACTGACTGTGTATCTTGTGAGTGAATGGGTGGTGTGTTCAGATACTTCACATTAAGGACGATAGCCAGAGATTTCATCCCAGTCTGTTGACAGAACAAGAACATCCTTACAACCTCCTAGAAACTTGCTGTTACATTTTCAGCTCTTGTTCCACTCAAATATGTTCACATGTAGCCTTTGGGAGGCATTTGTTCCCATAATGCACTTGGAAAATCTCAAGCCTATACAGTCGTTTCCCCCATTGACTCAGGTAGCTCTTCACTCTCAGATAGGATTAGATTCTATTCCAGTGTGCCTTGAGCTATAGGTTCTTTCTTCCCAGGGAAACTCTCTTCTATTGAACTAGGATAAGAAGAAGTAATTCTATCTCTCCACTGTAGGGATCTCTTTACTGGAATTTTCTTCGTAAACCCCTTTTGATTTTCAGCAACTTAATATTCCATTTATTTGAACTCATACTAAAAAGTTTATAACAAGATTCTGAAACTTCTTTGACATTGTTCCTCACAGCTTGGTTTGTTCTTTGACACTTATCATGTTGGAGCCTTGCTTTAAACTTCAAACTTGATATCCTGTTATTTAAGACCAGAGGAGAAAAATAACAAAACATACTTTACTAGAAAAGAACAAGTGACAGAGATAAAAATAGACTGACTGACTTAAAGATTAAAATAAAATAAATATTTGTCTCATTTGGAGAGAACTTTTTATAATGGGTAAAGGACACTAAAGTCTACTTAATCAAGTAATTTTATTTCTAGTGAAGTCTTATCAGTAAGGAAAATGGAAGATGAATTAAATAATAAAATAAAAATAATTAAATCTCAAAATGATGTGCAAATGACATCTAAGAGTAATTCTGTAAGTACAATTAGAAAAGCAGTGTTATAATCAAGTCCATAGTTTCACAGTACCAAAAGAATAATCCTTCTTTCAAACTCTGAGGTCCTGGTATTTTTTAAGTACACACACATACACACACACACACACACACACACACACACACACCATTGCCAAGTGATTTCATAGAAGGTGGGTTATTCAAAAAAGTTTAAAAAAAATAAATTAAAAAAAATCAAAATCACATTATTTTAAATTCATCTTTAGTTGCAGAAGCCTTTGTGATTAACTTGGGTATGCCATGAGGAAGTCACTCTTAGGCACATAATTTTGACATCATCCTTTCAGGAAGGAGGAAACAACTGGGAGCATTCATCACCTCAAAGATAATTTTAGGTAATAATTTACCTTCATAATTGAAGCACAGCTTATGTAAACAATCTTAAAAACCACCCAGGGAATCAAAGCTTTACTCTGTTATAATATGATTCAGCCCATCCTTTTAACCTGATGAAATGTTTGTTCTTTTCAAAATAAAATTTATAAATAAAATACATATTATCAGAAAGAATTCCAGTTAAACTGCAATACAATATCAGCATAGTAAAGAAATCTACTGAAACACAGTGGCTCTTTGGTAATTGTGTAAATGACAAGAACTACGTACAGGTTTAATGTATATATATATATATATATATACACAAGTTAGAAGTAATAATGGTTTCAAATTAAACTTCAATATACTCCACTAAATATATTATGAAAATATTTATGATTCCTAGCTATGACAAAAATGCCACTAACATTTACATGCAATGTAGCCTACAAATGATATGCATGATGATCAAGTTAAAGCCAGGAAAAATAATCTTCCATAAGATTCACGCACATAGCTCTTGGTTAAAATAATTTCTTTGTAGAGTTACCCCAAATGACCCCAAATAGATAAAACTATTTCCAGAAGTCATAGCTTATTAAATGAATGTACTAATGCATTGTTGACATCAGACGGGTTCTTAAACAATTCAGGCAGTTTTCACTGCTGTTGGTTCCCACCAGAACCAGATTGCAAAATCTTATTGATGAAGACGGCACATCATTTTGTTGTCGGATTTGAAAGACAAACTGTAACAGAGACCATAGCTCCTTCTTTAGTGGACAATGTTCATAGTTCTCAAAGACTCTGAACAGGCTGGTGGTGAAAGACAATCATCAATACTCAGATTCATCTGTGGACCCTCTGTGCCACATTGGCAACAGCCAGGTAAGGTGTCCTAACTGAGGCAATTGTCGTAAGTTATTATGGTGGCAACTGATCATTTTATGATTGTAGTTAGGGCTACACAGAAATGAATCCATGTCTGGTACTAGTGGTGAGTTTTGGTGAAATAAGTAGATTCTAGGGGATCTGGTGTAGTTACTATAGCCACCCCTTGATATATTCACAGTGTGATATCACTATTGGAAGGCAGTGGGAAGTGGAAGAGAGTACTTGGAGAGGGGAGATCACTGGGCATTCCCTAGAAAGACATGCATCCTCTCAGCTTCATGTCTTTTCTTCCTGCTAAGCATGAAGTAATTAGATTGTTAGGTACTCCTACTACCATATGTTTTTATTATCTCAGCCCAAATTAATGTCCCAACTGTCCTTGGAATAAAATTGCTAAAATAATGAGTTAATAATTTTTTTTGGTTATAAAGATTAGATAGTGAAAGTGTTTAAAGTTGAAATCAGCCGGACAGTGGTGGTGCGCGTCTTTAATCCCAGCACTAGGAAGGGAAAGCCAGGCAGATTTATGAGTTCCAGGCTAGCCTGGTATACACAGAGAGATCCAGGATAGCCAGGACTACCAGAGAAACCCTGTTTTGAAAAGCCAAAAAAGTAATAGTAAGAGTGGCAATAATAATAATAATAATAATAGTAATAGTAATAATAATAATAATAATATGGAGATCAAGAAATAGGTGGTTGCTAAAGAGATACTGAAACTATATAGAAGCCAAAGAGCTTCAGACTTAGGTGCACAGTAAAGTGTGGAACTAATATATCCAAGTCCCTAGGTCCAATCCTCAGTACTGTAAAATTAAACGAGAAGAAGAATTTAAGAAAAGGAAGAAGGAAGAGGAGAAATAATAACTAACAATAACAATAATCCACTGCCACCAAATATTTTGTATTAAGACAATAAAATAAGCATGATATCTTGAGGATAACTTGGCCAAGTTCAAAGGTTTAAGTGTATGAACTTAATTGAAAGATTAATTGACCACAATAGTGTGTTCTTCTAGCATAGGGTGACCTAGTTTTGGGGAACCATGCTATTACAGTAGCATCACCCCATGACCAGGTGGATTTAGGAATTCTATGCAAAATGGTAGACTCCTTTTTTCAGCAGGGTCTCCCTGTCTCCGCCTCTCTCTGTCTGGAGAGTGTCTTTACCTAGAGGGTGTTCCTGAACACAGGTGGCTGGCTTTGTCTGAAAAGTGACCTTTGTGCAGAGCTCTCTACAAGGCTGCATAACTCAACACACACACATCTCATCTGACTTTTTGCCAGCGTGATTATTCAGTGCTGTATTAGAACCAATCAGCACTTTCTGCTTACTTGATGCTAAGACCAATTAGCCCTTTCCACACATATCCCTTAAAAGGCCCCTATTTACTCTATCACTGAAACAATAAAATAGACTTGTCTTGCTGCAGCTGTCTCCAGAGGTCATTCCTCCATATTTACTGCCATTTGAATCCTGCTTTCTGCCTCTGTTCCTTTGTCTACTCAGGCTGGTGACCAACAGCCTCTGAGGACAAAGGGGGACCACAACCTAGGGAAATGTCTCACCTGGCTCTTCACTCAAGTACACAGAAACTTCTGCAGACATGGTCCATAGGATCCTGGGCACTACTTGAGCTGATAGCAAATCTCTGCATTATCCAGTATGATGCTTTACAGCCAAGCAGAATAAAGGAGTTGAGGGACCTTGAAGGATCATGAAGGTTTGACAAGTGCACACAGTATAGGGCATGGTTGAAGTCCTTGTGTTCTGGACCTCAAAGCATAATGTCTGAAGCTGTAAGAATGAAGATGAACATGCTTTGAAGTCTCTGTGAGATTAAGGATGTCTAGAATGTGGACCATATGCTAAATAAAGTTTTAGGCCAGGAAAGTTGGTAGTCCCAAAGAGAGGCCATATTACTAAGGGTGCAAGAACATGACTTTGCACAAATTAAATAAACGCCTCAGAATCAGACATAGAGCTGCAAAATTTGGCATTTTTCCTTTTGGGTTTTGGTCAAGCATTGATCATAGCTTTCCTTTTTCATCCCTATTTTATCATTTTTGGAATGGCAACATTTATTCCAAGCCACTTTATATTGGAAGCAGATAAACTTCTTTTTAAATTTTATAGGAACTAATTGTAAAGTTTTCCCTTAATCTTTAAGGAGCCAACCAGCCATGAGCTGGACATCTGAA